CATGAAGACGACTCTTGTTAAAAATATGATTTATAACTGTGCTGTCATCGTATAGCTATGCCCTCGATATCGACAACCCGATATGAGTTTTTTCCTTGGCTATTACTACTATAGCATCAACTAGACGATGCACCCATCTTGATTAGACATGTTCTGGGTCACGGTTATTTTCATAGTTTTACAGAAGTCGTTCCACGGTAACTCTGTGGTTAGTGCATAACATAGAAGTCGTTCCACGGTAACTCTGTGGTTAGTGCACAACATTTCATGCACAGTCATAAAAAAAAAATTAAATTTGACAAACATGGGGTTTATAAAGGGGAATTAGACGAAGAATGTAACATGTATATAAACGGGCATATGCGCATTCCTGATACCCTGAGTTATATATATACACGGGCCAAAGAGCCAATTCTTGACTTGAAGCCGTGTTCCCGGGACGGTTTACGGGGAACCGATTTATATACATGAAAATATTCTTCTCTAATTCAAATAACATGTAAAATAAGAATAATGTGTTTTTATGCGTTATGATAGATTTGGCATGCATGGTATGACCTGGATGAAGTATGGGTGATGTATATTTATATTGTTGTGGATAGAATTTTGGGAGTAAATATTTAGAGATTTACAATTTGAGATATATGGTATATACGAGGGTTTCCTTGTTTGGATTATTCCCTCGACGTACTCATCTCTCATGTTGTGGGTCTCTAAATCTTATCTCCTTTTAGCATATGGTATAAGGTATGTGCTTATGGTAGACCTTGTCTGATATCCATGTTTAGAAACTTCTTTTATCATCTTTAATTGAGTTTCATCGTATTTTGTTTATAAGATAGCCTTTTTCTTTTATCACTGAAATTTTAGAATTTATCTTTTCTTATTATCTACCACTTATAGTTGCACGTGCACAATTTCCTCATTTTACATGCTTGCTGGGAGTTTTCTGACTCCCATGGGGTTTGCATACCCCAGACTTGGGAATTGTCCTTTCTTCGCAGGACCAAGAGAACTTTAAGGATTAAGACCCGTGACAGTGACCACCTTCTCTCTCAGCTTCAATTATTGAGTCTTTCTTGTAATCACTTGTGGTACTCGAGACTAAGATGTATTTTCCTCCTTCCTACTTTGAATAGTTGTGGACATGTAAGAGAACTTGTCTTTTCAGAGTTTTCTTTATCTATCTAGTTCCCTTGTTATTTTGGTTACATGCTCTATGTAGTAGTTCTTTTAGCAATATAACTGTATACAGGATGATCCAGAGGCGTGAATGTAACCGTATGGTTGCATTGCCGACCGAGTCATGCTCCAAATTATCACGTTTTGGACTCGGGGCGTGACAAGGTTTTATTGGTATCAGAGCCAGGTTTACATAACTGGACTCTCATCCTGTACATAACTATTGGAGCTTTTAAAATAGGAATAGGAGTCTGAGCATGTATAATATTAGGCTCGTTCACCCTTGCAATATATTTTTGTGCTTACTCCTTTGATTCTGCATACAAATTCATTTCTATCTTAACAGTTAATTCTTTTTTTTCTTCTCAAGCCAAGTGTATCCAAACTTAGTCAATGAGCACAAATTGGTTTTTGACTACCCTCAAGCTTCATAAGTTAAGCTAGCATGAAAGTTTATCCAGCCATTAGCCCTCACCTTAGCAGCAACTATAAGTTCATGAATGCTTGTTTTTTTGGTGAAGTTATCTCGACCAACGGATCATCTAAATCAAATCATTTAGCTCTAGCTAGATCATGCGACTGAACTTGGATATTCTTTATGTGCTAACCAATCAGGATATTAGTAGACTTGAAAACTTTTTAGTTACCTCCAGCTAGATAGACTAGTATCTTAGCACCGTTAGGTCATGTGAGAGGAATGTTTTTTTTTTTAGCTTAACTTGAGGTAGATATGCATGTAAGGCAAATCCATCTGGTGACGTATGTGCAATTGATTATCTAGATTATAAATTCTGAATGTGGTTCATGCTTGATAATATGCATGGTATCCAAGAATGAGAAATCATGTGGATGATATTGAGGGTATATGTTGGAAACTTGATTTTTGTGAGATAACAGCCATATAAATTTAAGTATTTGATTGAAGATATTGTATGATTATGTACCCAATATATGATCGAGATAATACATGATGCTTGATATCTAGAAAGATATATTAATACTTGAGAAGTGCCACCGAACCATGGTTCCAACCACATGTCTATAAGTTTAAGAAATGCAAGGAAAGGAATTTCATGAAAGGTCTCAGGATAAGATATACCAGTTTTATATTAGTATCGAATTATCTTATGATATGCATGTTTATGATGCCATAGTGTTGAATGTCAAGCGATTCCTTCAAGACACCATTGTAACATTGATATTGGGATACATGGTTTAGTGAGAGGGGGCTCGTGATCTTCCTCCACTGGATTGTGATTGGTGGTGGTCCTAAGGGTGACGATCCTTAGGACCAAACTTGGGAAAAAAATTGGTTTACATGTATCACGTCTTGACTGATCTCGCAGGGGATTCATACTATGGAGAGTCATTCCAATAACCTTATGGTATGTGGTATGAGATATATACAACGACAATCTAGATTGGGTATCATATCTATTTATTTCTGATAGAGCATTGCTTCTCGTGTGCTTGGATTAAATTCCGAGGACGGAATTTGTTTTAAGGAGGGTAGGATGTAACAATCAAAATTTTTCGATACGTATTTAATTATTAAATTGTTATTTTTCAAAGAGTATTAATGTTTACCTAATCTCTATGATTTTTAGTAATGTATAATAATAGTGGTTATTAATTTTTGGGAAATTATAATTACAATTGTTATGATTATGTACATAGTATTTAGTTGATATTACTAATAATTGGTTAATATTATTAATTGTTTAAATTATTACTATAACGGTATTCTTATGTATATGGTAATATATCCCCAAATCTCGTTCTCTCTCTCCTCAAAAATTCCCACGTTCAGCACACTCTCTCTCTCCACTCATCTCATTCTCATTTATTTCCCTCTACACTATTTTCCTAAACGGCCAAATCTCCCAAAATATCTCCATCTCCTTTAATCACTCCCCAAAATCACGTTATCTCTCCTCTTAATACCTTCTCTCTCTCTCTCTTTTCATCCGGTTCTCTCTACTTCCTCCCCAAGAGAACTCTGACCACCCAAGCCCACTCCGTCCAACTCCCCAACCCGCCGCCTTGGAGCCTCCACCGAGCCGCCTACTCCCCCCTTTCCTTCGCCGCTTCTAGCCGACAACCGCTGTCCCCTCCTGAACCCCGCAGTCAACCCCAACGCCCTCTTCCACGAACTCTGACCAAGCCCTTAGCAACCGCACCGCCGTCCACAGGCAAAGCCCCTGAACTCCGACCAGGTCCAAACCCAACCGAGGTTTTCACCGCCGTCCCTCCATCACCACGACCAGCCTTCGCTCACCAGCAGCCCCTGGTGCACCCAAACCCGCGCCCTCTCTCCACCTCCATCGCACGCCACATGTTCGACAATAAGCCAACACAGATCCAGTTGTAGAACCGCACACCAACAACCCCATCGAACCCGTTGAGCCCCTCAGTGATGACAACCATCGTCGTCGCCGTCCCCAAACATCGCCATCACCCTCTAGACGGCAAGCATTTTTGTCTTGCTCTTTGTTGAATTCGTTCTCATTATTATTATGCAAGCATTCATTTTCTCAATTATTATTATTATTATTATTATTTGATTTTCCTCCATGCAAGCCTTTCTATCCTTTTAGTATTTCATAATCAGCTTATTAAATTAGAAATATTTTCTTTATAGGGATCATAATGAATAGTTGCTAGATAGTTCAAACACTTTTATTTATCTTAATATGGAAGGGACAATCCGAGATCCTTTATGCAATATTTTATAGATATCATCTTTATCTTTCTAATTACCTCTCATTTATTTCATTAGAATAAATATCCATAGTATGATTAGAATAACTTGTGTTTTGTGTATGTGTGATCTGTCTAGTTTATATGCATAGTGTTTGACAATTTTAGTTTAGGAAATATAACATTTGTGATCTGGAACTTAGGTAGAGTAATTGGATTTTTTTTTTATGCGGAAATGAGGCCAAGCGTAATATAGGTATAGACTTAAAAATTCATCCTTTTTATAAATATATGCTTCACAGCTTTCAAATTTTGCACAAGTATCCTAGATGATATTAGACACATTTATATGAACATTCTGGAAGCTAATTTCCCCTACTTTACAGTGATCGGAAAGTCAAAATTGGAAAAGAAACTGGAAAGTAATTGGAAGTGAGAAAAAGTAATTTGGCACACGAAAAAAAAATATAAACTTCAATTGAGCCTGTAATGAAATGCAACGCCAAACTAAAGTTGGTTTATTTGTTTCTGATATCAAAGAAGTTTTGAGGTGAATTAGTTGTCTAAGATTGTTTGGTTTATTGAGCTTTGGATATTACAGTGATGGTTGCTTAAAGGGGAATGTGTAGCCAAATAGGGAAAATGCTGGTAGGTATTACAAAGAAGTCGGATTTGGCTGATAATTTTATGTAATATGGAAGATTCGGGGATTTAGAAATGTAGTCGTAGAATATTAAAGGAAATTGGAAGACCAGAGATAAGACAACAAGATACAAATTTACAAGAGTTCCATATAATTTCTCATAGTATATCTGTAAGCTTTTAGACCCTTGCTTTGCATTGAAGATTTGTTACTTGATTCCAAAACATAAAACTCTGTGGGTATTTGTCCTCCTGTTATTAGCCCTTTATTTTGAATCTCTGGCTATTTTAAGCTCCAACTTGTGATCAATAATAAACATTTTTCATCTCCAAGCTGTTTGACCTGGTTGTAGTTTTTGAGATAGTTTTTATTTAGAATTGCGAGAATGATCAAGCTGTTTGGTTAGTAATGAGTACGGGTCTTTTCTAATTTGATCAAGTAAACAAATCCTTGACTTAGCATGCATGCGATGAGAACTACTGCAAATCATCTCATATCTTCGTAAATTTAGGTGGACTGCCTTGATTACTTTTTCCTTGCATCTTCTAATTATTTGACACTTAACTATATATTAATTCATGGAAATCATATGGTGATAAATTTTAATAGCATGGAAATTATTTTTGTTGCTTGATCACCTAGTTATCATCCAATAGGTGAGACTGTGCATGAAGACGACTTCGGTTAAAAATATGATTTATAAGCGTGCTTTCATAGCATGACTATGTTCTCGATATCGACATCCCGATATGAGATTTTTCCTTGGCTATTTACTATTATAGCATCGACTAGACGATGCACCTATCTTGATTTGGACATGTTCTGGGTCACGGTTATTGTCATACTTTTACAGAAGTCGTTCCACGGTAATTCTGTGGTTAGTGCACAACATTTCATGCACAGTCATATAAAATTTAATCGACAAACATGGGGTTTATAAAGGGGGAATTAGACGAAGAATGTAACATGTATATAAACGGGCATATGCGCATTCCTGATATCCTGAGTTATATATATATAATATATATACACGGGCCAAAGAGCCAATTCCTGACTTGAAGCCGTGTTCCCGGGACGGTTTACGGGGAACCGATTTATATACATGGAAATATTCTTCTCTATTTCAAATAACACGTAAAATAAGAATAATGTGTTTTTATGCGTTGTGATAGATTTGGCATGCATGGTATGACCTGGATGAAGTATGGGTGATGTATATTTATATTGTTGTGGATAGAATTTTGGGAGTAAATATTTAGAGATTTACAATTTGAGATATATGGTATATACGAGGGTTTCCTTGTTTGGATTATTCCCTCGACGTACTCATCTCTCATGTTGTGGGTCTCTAAATCTTATCTCCTTTTAGCATATGGTATAAGGTATGTGCTTATGGTAGACCTTGTCTGATATCCATGTTTAGAAACTTCTTTTATCATCTTTAATTGAGTTTCATCGTATTTTGTTTATAAGATAGCCTTTTTCTTTTATCACTGAAATTTTAGAATTTATCTTTTCTTATTATCTACCACTTATACTTGCACGTGCACAATTTCCTCATTTTACATGCTTGCTGGGAGTTTTCTGACTCCCCTGGGGTTTGTATGCCCCAGACTCGGGAACTGTTCTTTCTTCGCAGGACCAAGAGTATCTTAAGGATTAAGACCAGCAGCAGTGAACACCTTCTCTCCCTTCAGTCGTCTTTCTTGTAATCACTTGTGGTACTCGAGACTAAGATGTATTTTCCTCCTTCCTACTTTGAATAGTTGTGGACATGTAAGAGAACTTGTCTTTTCAGAGTTTTCTTTATCTATCTAGTTCCCTTGTTATTTTGGTTACATGCTCTATGTAGTAGTTCTTTTAGCAATATAACTGTATACAGGATGATCCAGAGGCGTGAATGTAACCGTATGGTTGCATTGCCGACCGAGTCACGCTGTGGACATGTAAGAGAACTTGTCTTTTCAGAGTTTTCTTTATCTATCTAGTTCCCTTGTTATTTTGGTTACATGCTCTATGTAGTAGTTCTTTTAGCAATATAACTGTATACAGGATGATCCAGAGGCGTGAATGTAACCGTATGGTTGCATTGCCGACCGAGTCATGCTCCAAATTATCACGTTTTGGACTCGGGGCGTGACAAGGTTTTATTGGTATCAGAGCCAGGTTTGTCTTTTTTGTTTGCTGTAATCTCCTTTTGTTTAGGGGTTGACTACTTCCGAGAAGTTCCTTTAGAAGGATTGGGAGTGGTCGTAACCATTCCATGGTTAGCTGGCTGATTAACCATCTTGGAATAGTCAAACTGATATTCATTTCCACTTCTAGCAGAAAAGGCCAGTTCTTCTCTGGTAGCAAAAGCTTCATGCTCATCATCAGAAGGTGGGAAGGTAGGGATTCCTTCATCATTTTCCTCTAGAATAGCTGTAGTGGCATGACAACATTTCCCCTTGCTTTTGGATTTAGATTTCTTCTTGGAGGAGGATCATGTCCATTGCTCATATTGAAGTAGATCAAGATGAACCCAAATAATTTCATTGTTAGAAGTCGTGTATAGCACTAGCCCTTTCTGGCTTTATCCATGAGGATCCTCATTAATTGTCCTCATTCCTACCCTTGTCACAGGTTCTGGTTGAAACCACATGAGGAGAACAGAGCTAAAACTGATGCTTACTGCGTTTGCACCTACTTTCTTTTTCTAGGGTTGCTTTGCAGTGATAATCCCAATGTCAATCAAGGCTTGAATTTTATCCTTGGGAGCATAGCCCGTCTTGGTGGGATGATGAACTGCTATATGGAATGCACAATACCGCAGATCCATAGTCTTCTTAGCTCACTTGTGATCGGTGATAAGAGGTAGCTTGATCTTGTTGTTTTCTAACAAGTATTTGAAGATACCAGGGACTTCGTCTTCCTTAACGGAGTATTCCTTCGGGAACTTTGGCTCCAAAGCCTTTTGTTGCCTTGGAGGTCATTGCTGCTATTGAGGTGATTGCTGGTTGGACGCTTGTTGCTGTGGCTGTTGTTGGGTTGCAATTGGAATGTTTGATTTGAATCCAACGCATTCGCCTGTGCTTTCCCTTTACCATGAGGAGTGAAGTTCTGTTTTAGAGCATTAGTCGTAAGTTGACTTCTTTTAGCTTTCTTCCTTTTGAGGAAGCGTTCAGCTTGCTCCTCACGTACTTTCAACTCTTTCCAAGTCTTGTATAGTGCAACACACATAGCTTCTAGTAAGTCCAAGGAAAGGATGTTATGACATATTTAGAGGATGAATTCCTCCGTGACTGGATCTCGGTAATTCATTAGCTTATTCCGAAAGCGCTTGACGAAGTTCTTGACTGATTCTTCATCTTTTTGTTTCTCATCAAATAGTGTCCCGATTGACACCTTTGTGTCATCATTGAAGAAGTTAGCGAAAAACATGCTCCCCATGTCATCCTAGCTATTGATACTTCCCAGCTTCAGACGGTGGTACCAGTCAAAGGTGACTGCACGAAGGGTCCCCATGAATGATCATACCATCAGAGGTTCATTGCCTGAAATGACCCCTAGGTAGGACTTGAAGTAAATCAAGTGTAGAGTGGGCGAACCCCTTTCGTTGAACAGTGTGAAGTTAATCATGTTGAACTTCGTCGGGTACGAAATCGATTCCCACTCCCTCGAATAAGGACATGGAATGTCAGTCATCTTTACCTCTTGAGCAGACATCAAAGTATTGATTCCCCATTTCCTGGCACTGTTAGAGCTTTACAACCCCGACACCAACACATTTTTGACCAAGTATGGTGAGTTGGGGTTGGCGCTGCATGAGATGCACAAGGTCTCTGGTCTTTCGATAGGCAATGTGATCTATCAAGAATACTTCCCTTCTAATCGAAAGCTGTAGCAGTTGAGGTCGCGAACGCCCAACCGTTACAATACTCTGTGGGATCTCACCTGCCACTACCACATAGCTTTGGCGGGTGCTGACCCATTATCAAAGAAGCTGTGGTCGTAGATCAGTTTGAAGAAATTTGCGGATTATCTGTTCAAGAACATAGACGGCAGCTCGGGTGAAGCGATACATGAGTTAACGTCGGTAACCCCTTCCGAAGTTAATGAGCTAATCGGAAATTCCAACACACAGTCTTACACTACAGCTGGCGTTGAAGATGATTTTACCACTGGAACCAAGTTCCAAATATTTTTGTTGCAAGCGGTGAACCCGATCCAACCCTCTACCGTTCAAATATGATGTTGGCCCTAATTTCTGCAGACTCATCCATTCCTTTTCTCTAATTAATAGGAAGCTATAAATGGAAAGGACGAGGGTTTGCGAAGATTAAGATGCAACTTCAAAACCAGAAGTGTTGGGTCTTTCCTACTTTCTTCCCATGATTTTTGGGCTCTACCGTTCAAATATGATGTTGGCCCTAATTTCTGCAGACTCATCCATTCCTTTTCTCTAATTAATAGGAAGCTATAAATGGAAAGGACGAGGGTTTGCGAAGATTAAGATGCAACTTCAAAACCAGAAGTGTTGGGTCTTTCCTACTTTCTTCCCATGATTTTTGGGTTAATATGGTGATTCACTGGTCGATACGGAGGCGTTGGGTATGGGTCAGACTTCCCTTGATTCTGGTTACTTCGATTGGTTGATCAATATCAGGTCGGGCTACTTGATCTTGCGGGTGCAGAATCGCTGCTATATAGAGCCATACTTGCCATGTCGGTTCGTGCACCAATTCGGCTATGATCAGATTTATATCGGGAACCTGAATCGACAGCTCCGGACTCATGGTGGATTGATAGATGGGGCCAGGGCATGGCTGTGGAGTATAACTAGTTGCACTGGTGCCAAGTTCAAACTCCCTGGTGTTGAGCGCAAGTTAGAGCTGACTTTCCTACAATGTCAGTAGCTTTTGGCGGCAAACGAGTATGTTCTTGTGCGACCAATTGTAGAGTTAGCGTCCGAAGAAGCAGCTTGGATTGCCACTCAGATGGTGCATGAGGCTGAGTTTCAAAAAAAGAAGAGGAAAAGAATGAGAGGGTCCTTCCGACCACGAGGGGCAGAAGGAAGCCATCTTTCCTCCCGATGCTGAGATCTCA